CACCCCCCCCCCCCTCCCCAAATACTGTGAATTCTCTAAAATATGGTGTCAGATTAAAAAAAAGTGAGGTAAATAATGCTCCTGAAGCTTTGGATCTGTGGGAGGTCTCTATCACTGGCTGGCATGAGGGCTGTTGCTGATATCTACCAGGCTGTAGCACTTTGTGGTTATTCATGTTAGTGAACAGAAGAATGTGTTGAATTGGTCCTGCTTTGTGAGGAGGAGGGGAAGCCTGGTGGGAGCTCTGCCCTTCTCCGCAAGGGAGAGTGAGATTTCAGGATTTGGCTATCATTAGGAATAGCTCCAGTTCCTCTAGCCAGAGAGCTTAATCAAAGGGATAACATCAGACCACCCAGGCAAAGGCCAGAATGAGCTGTCTCTGTCTCTGCTGTACAGCCTGCCAGTACCCGGGATCCAGCAGTCAGGTCTCCTGCAAATGTGCTGACAGATCTTCAAGGGGATGAGGCACTTTTCTTGCTAGATATTTTTCATTTGGAGAGAAAGTGAAAATTAGCAAAACCCAGCTGAGCTTATTGGACCTCTAGGGGAGGGGCGTAGCATGGCCAGCATGCAGTGGCCCAGGGTGACCTTGTGGGAATTGTCTGCTAAAGACCATCCCAGAATAAGGCCCTTCATTTGGGTATCAACTACAGCAGTGATCTCACCCAGGGCTTTACATCTCCTCTCTGCACTACCTCTCTCTCAAATGAACAGCCTGAGGCCCCCTTGTCCTACGTGTCCACAAAATAAACTCCATGTTTACACTGCTCAGGTATACATACACTGCTCAGATCCCAGTTAATATCTAGCTCCTTCCATCCCAGACCTGAGTAGAGTGTTTTAGGAAGGCTAAACAGAAATTAAACTGAGACCACAACACTTGGAAAATAGATGAAATCCAAGTACAGCTGTGTTATAGCCAGTGCCTAGTACGTTGCTGTGCTAAACCTGTCTCATGGAGTCTCAGACTGCCTGTGTTCTTTGAATAACCCTTTGGCTTGTTGTAT